AAGTAAATAAAATAATAGTAGAAAAGGGAGAGTTGGGTGCAGCGTGGAAAACAAAATGTAAAGGTGAATGATTCAGTGTCACGTGAAGAGGAACGTAATTAATTTAAGATAGGTAACAGGTAAATAATTGGGCTCAATAATATAACGGAACCAGGTAACAGAGCTAAGGACAGGACCTATGGGTCTTCAAAGTCTAACCTAAGCTAATATGGCTTTGACATGTTAAAAACTTTTATGAACAATTAACCAATGGCTGCCAGATGCAAATGCTACTATTCTATCCTTCACATAACCAAACTTTTCAATTCTAAATTAATTTCTTATTTGGGGCCCGAGGAACCAAATCATTTTCCTTTAAATTCTCATCACTATTTTACTATTATTAGATACATTAAAATGATTCTCTCATGTCTTAATCCTTCGTGGTCGACAACAGGACCGACAGCTCTGGATTAAGAAATGTGTCCCAAAATCAAACGGGTTGATTAAGCCTTGAAAGAATGATTGATAATGAAGTTGGTGGCTAATGGTGTGAGAATTACAGAGATTAAGATATTGGGTGTGCCATGATTGTTGGAAACAGGAGACCTAAAGGCTTGAGAAGACGTAACCTTCTTTTTTTTTCTTCTCTTTTCTTCCATTCCATTTCATCATTCGATTGTCGACCAATTCCAAAGTCTCTTCGCCCTGTCCCTAACTAAATTATTTACCTTCCTTAAGTACCCATCATTGCCCATTCTGCCTTTTCTTTTAACCCATACCTTCCATTCAAATATACTTATTTCATTTCTTTTACGTTTTTAATACATATTTCTTTTAATATAACTATTTCTTTTATGTTTTTAATACGTATTATTAGTCCGGATTCAAATTTCATTAAACAAAAACTAGAAAGTGGAACAACACATACAAATGAATATTTATTAATCTATTATCTTAATATTTTAAATAAAGAGTGGAGATGATTAATCAAGTGCTGCATCTTATTGCATTTTGGAAAGAATCAGTTACTTTTGAGTTTGAATGACATTTCATTTTAACCATAACTCATCCGTTGATTTTTCAACATCAATCGGTTTAGACTTTTACTTAGTGTCACCTAAGCAGTTATAATTATCTTATGAAGATTTGTTTTTCTGTGGTTTTTCTTAATCAAATTATTGTTTGTGTGATTGAACTTAGATCTCGTTGGTTGACGTTACATCTTTCTACTGAACTTATTCTTCTATACATCCAATATCTTTTCATACCATTATTTTTTATTCCATTCTATTACAATATGTTAAAAGACAAAAAAGAAAGTTATATAATTTTTTATTAAACTTATAAAAATGACTTAATTGTCAAAAAAAAAATAGTTGTTCACAATTTATGTACTTGTTTTAAATTAGACTTGACCACTGGATTTATTTTTTATATCAGTCAGTATAAAGTCTGAGTATTGCACTATTGTATAGTTTACACTTGTACCAACTTTAATTATTCTGTACAAGCATTTTTGTGAACGTTTTGAAATATTTATCAAACTATTAGACGGTCATTCTGGGTCATTTAATGACTATCCAGTAATGATTTCTTTCCAAAAGGCATCCTTTTAATTTAGGTCAATCCCATCTAAAAGTGACATATTCTTGATGTGTCAACTCAAAATATTATTCATCTATCTTAAAATAAATATTAGGGGACCAAAATCAATTATTCCAAAGTTTAGAAGGACAAAGATAATAATACTTCTTTTATAGAATCTAAAACCGAATTTCACACATTAAAAAAATATTTTAAAATGTTACAAATATGAAAATAATTATTTTATAAAATCAAATAAATTAAAACTCACTGATTTTACACATAGTAAAACACAATTATATCAACATACTTTATCTACTTGGGAATAAAAGGGCCCGAATCCTGTTCGGGTTCTAGATATCGGCACTTTTCAGTGGACCTGTAGAATATTCGGGTCCTATAGTAAACGCATTTTTGGGCCTAACTGTTTTTCTTGAACCTTGGAGGTTTGAAAATGGATCCAATTCCATTCACGTGTTTTTTTACCATACGAAAAGTGTGTCTGCAAGTAGCAACTCCATTCTCTTTCAGAAACTTATTTTTTAGCATCCTTATTTATTATTCTTTACACGTCATCTACGTTATTATCTACAGGTTTATATATATTTCCCCCCTTTTTTCCTCTTTATAAAAAAATAGCCGAATTTGATCAAAATTTCATTTTGTATATTTTATTTATTTTTTCCTATAAAACTTTACAATTTTTATATCGACAGTGTTTTCCATCAACACGATATTGTGCATGTTCGTCGGTAAATTATTGCAATATCGAATTCGTCCAAAGTATGTTACGAAGTTGCATTTTCGTGGTATTGATATTAGATGTGCCTTTTTTAATGTTACTGAAATTACTTTTTAAAAGGCATACATACTTCAGAAGGTGATTTGAAGTACTTATTAATACTTTATTATTTTTAAATTTATTTTATTAGGACTTTATCCTCACTTCCCTGTTTGTTGGAGAAAGTAAACACTCGACAAGATTCGTCGGCAAGAGAAACTAGGAAATGAGGTAAGCAGAATCGAGAATCACGTTCATGAAAGGGAACAGCAGAATAACAACAAGGACTTCGATGTTATAACATTGCAGCTTAATTTAGTGTTTGAATGGTATAAAATTAAATTAAATAATGACAAAATTTAAACATGGTAATGTATTTCTCTTAAAAATAATAATTTATTAAAGAATCCACGAATATTCTCTTCTAGAAACCAAATTGATGACACAATATATCCCAATCTCATAAAGTTGAAAAAATAGTTGGACTTATGTTACATTTTGCAGCCCTTTAAAGTCTTCCTGATTGCTTGATTCATGAATCATGAGACACACCCGTGTACATTCATGCCTCGTGCAACAAGTGATAGCAGAAACATAAAATTCTGAGAACAACATTAAATATATACGAGAGAGAGAGACACACACATACATACTATACTGTATTATTGTCCAGCTACGACGTGCCAAAGCAACTGAAAAGGATCACCCTATTCCCTTGTTTGAATCAAAATAAACAAAAACAGAGCTTCTATAATTTATTTTTAAACTCCCACTTGCACATTCCTATGGCTCATGTTCTAATCTTACAAAACCCTTGCATTGCATGAATTCCCTCTCACAAAAACTCTTCTTCTACGAGTTCGACAACGAGGGCATGGCAACCCAAGGTTCGCCATTTCAGATTGAACTTGTGGTAGACACGACCATGACAACCTCAAACGTTTGTAGCCACAGCGACAGTTTCAGCAATCACCAACATTCAACCTCTTTCTCAAAGCTCCTAATGTCTGTTCTAACCAGATTCCATGCAGGCTACTTCAGAATAAGCCTTTCCCTCGGAAGCCAAGCATTACTGTGGAAGACGGTAATGACATCGGCACAAGACAAAACCACTCTACCGCACGTGCTTTCCACGCTTCCTTCAGTGGCTGTCTATGCACTCTGGTCTTTCTCCCTTTTCACTCTAGTGTTACTCTCCCTCCTCTACCTCCTAAGATGCTTTTTTTTCTTTAAGATGGTGAAGGCCGAGTTCTTGCACCCTGTGGGGGTTAACTACTTCTTCGCCCCCTGGATTTCGTGGCTTCTCTTGCTTGAATCAGCGGCGTTCGTGGCGCCCAAAACCACCTTGTACATGGTTCTGTGGTGGGTGTTTGCGGTGCCGGTGGTGGTGCTTGACGTGAAGATCTACGGACAGTGGTTGACGAAGGGGAAGAGGGTTTTATCCTCTGCGGCGGGGAATCCGACGAGCCAGGTGTCAGTGATAGGGAACTTGGTTGGAGCACAGGCTGCTGCGCACATGGGATGGAAAGAGTGTGCGTTGTGGTTGTTTTCGGTGGGGATAGTGCATTACGTGGTGCTGTTTGTTACGCTTTATCAGCGATTATCGGGTAGAGATGGGGTTCCAGTATTGTTAAGGCCAGTTTTGTTCTTGTTCATTGCAGCGCCTAGCGTAGCAAGCTTGGCTTGGGAATCCATTGTTGGAACCTTTGACACTGCTTCCAAGATGCTCTTCTTTCTATCCATTTTCCTATTCCTCTCACTGGTAAGATTAGTTCCTCTACGTGTGCTGTTCAAAAATTATTCTCCAAAGGACTTTGATAACTGACATTTTAATACACATTTCTTGGAAGACATTTACAATATGGTGTTTATATTATCGACAGATTAAAATATATTTTATCTTCTTTTGCAACCGTTGTTAGCATAAAAGTTAACATCCCATTCCATAATGATTGGATGAGTGTATAAATTTTATACTATATTTTATTTTATTTTATTTAACTTCTATCTTTGATTTTATTTGTAATTTTTGTGTCCTGGTATGTATAATTATATACTACTTTTGTTAAATTGTTTAAAATAAATATAAAAATAAAATAAATCTGTCTTTTTTTGTCTCTTTTCTTTGCTAGTTTACGAACTGTTTATAAGCTCGATAAAATGATAAAAAAAATCCAAAACTGTGAATTATTTAATAAATATCTCGAATATCTCAGTTTCCCCCACTTTTTAATAGCAGTAGATTATAATGGATGATGGTATTTTTACATGAAAGAAGTTTTTACTCTCTTTTAATATTATCTTTCATTCATTTTTTTCCTTTTTTTTAAATATTAAAAAAATATTTTTATTAAAATAATAATAATATCACTTTTGTGATGGATTATCAAATGATAATAGTATGTCCAGTAACTTTTTTCCATTATAAAATTACAAAGGCTGGAAATTTATTTCCTAGTACATCATCACGATGGTAAATTTCTTAGACTGTGTGTTTGATTTCAGTTTTATCTGTAAATTTTTTTGGTGGAAAACGGGAAAGGTGGTTGAACAGAGGAGAAGAAAGACACCCTGTATTTAACTCTAGTTATTACTTTCATCCATGCAATTAATAATGGTCTCTTTCCCATCCCTAAAATGAAAAAACATACAGGCTGATACTGTTACAATAGCTTGGAATTAAATAAAATTTTGCAGTATGTGGGGATCTATCAATCCGATTCATCTTTCAAGTAAATGACAAAACTTCCATCTAGATATTTAGTGATAGAGAGATTTATTCATTAAATAAATACCAAATAAAATTGGAATGTACTCATTCTCTTGTAGCCTGCGCATATGTTTTTATATGAAACAATTATATATTGATGATAATCAACATCCATAAGCAGATTTGCAGGCCAAACCTATTCTGGAGATCAATGAGAAGGTTCAACGTTGCATGGTGGGATTACTCATTTCCCATTACTGCACTTGCTCTTGTTTCAGCAGATTATGCAGAAGAAGTGAAAGGAACTTTTTCTCACATTCTAATGCTCTTTCTGTTGGCTCTTTCTGTTCTTGTCTCTCTTGCTCTCACCATGTTTACTCTTCTCAACTTTAACATGCTTCTAGTGGATATATATCCTTCCAAGCTTTCTCAGTCAATCCTTGTAATGTAATGTAACAAGCCCTATTAAAAATTAACACCACCTCTAACTTCAAATTTCTGGGTTCTGTTTTAAATATCATCTAACTTTATAATTTTCAATTATAAAACTTAAATTCACACTGTAATGCCAACAATAAATAGGATTAAATTTAATCTTAATTTAATCACAATTTCCCATTTAAGATTAATATCTCACCGACTATATTGAAACATATCAATGATTGATAAAATATATGTATAAATTTTCATTACTTTAAACACTATTTTTCCTTTTTTCCTTTCTATATCTCAATTATATAAATTATTATACAAGTTTTAGATGAAATTTCTCTATATATGAGAGAGAAAAAAAAATCATTTTCATAAAGTATTAATTAAAAACAAAACTTTAGAAAAATCAGTAAAAAAATCATTATTTACATAACTTTATAAGTAATAATTTTAGTTAAGGAATAAAATTTTATTTTATTATTGTTTATATTTTTCTCTTTCAAAAATACTTAAATATCCTCCGAAGGATTTAAAAGAAAGTACAAAAGAAGATAGGATAATATGCAAATTGAAAAATAAAATAAAATAAACTACTCTTTCTAACTCCTGAAAAGGTTTATAAGGAAAGATAGGTACATAACGATTATGAGTAAAATTACAATGATTATATATTTAATTTTTTATTAATAATCTTGACTTTTAGATAAATAATTAAAAAAACTTAAATAATGAACTTAAAAAAATAATAATCTATCTTAAAATAAATATTAGAACCAAAATCAGTCAATTAAGATTTTAGAAAAATAAAGATAATTTTAATTTGATCGAAATTAGAACCAAATTTGACACATCAAAAGAATAATTTCCAAATGTTAGAAATATGAGAAAAATTATAAAATAAAATAAAAAATCAAAACCCACCAGTTTCACGTATAGTAAAACACAATTATACCAACATACCTTGTGTGTTATATATTTTTGGGTAGAAGGGTCCGGATCCTGTTCGGATCCTAGATATCAAACTTTGGAGACTCCTCCATATAGTTCCAAAGCTTTTTCCTGCTCCAAACTTTCTCATAATGCTAAAACACAAAGGGAAATTTTTTCTCTTTTTTATAATTATCTAATGCACTTTCATTTTTTTTCTTAACCTAACTCTAGTCTCTCTCTCCTTTCTTTTTTGTCTTGTTCATATCATTTTTAACTCTTCCTCAATAGATCGTTCTTATTTTGTTATATTTGATTATAAATGTTTGATATAGTTTGAAGGAGACAAAAATGACTAATTTTAAGTTACGAAAACTGGAGAAATAGAACGAAGTTCTTTTATGGATTTCGAAATTTAATGGTTATTTATTAGGGTTTTAATTTTATTCAAAAACTTATCCATTATATTTCACCTTCAAGATTAAATTAGATATTACTAAAAAAAATACATAGCAATAAATATTTGTATTTAATTCTGATTATAATGCTATTAAATATAATATTTATTAAACTTAATAATTAAAATTTAAACTTATTAAATATAAATTTTTTAAACTTATTAGATATTAAATATTTATTAAACTTATTAAATATATATATATAATAATAATATTTATTATTTTATAAAAATATATCTTTTATTTTAAACAACTCAAATATTTTTAAGCAATTTAGAACTCATATAAGATTTATAATTAAAAAAAACATTTTCCAAAAACAGTTCACACACACGAAAAATATNCGACGTGCCAAAGCAACTGAAAAGGATCACCCTATTCCCTTGTTTGAATCAAAATAAACAAAAACAGAGCTTCTATAATTTATTTTTAAACTCCCACTTGAACATTCCTATGGCTCATGTTCTAATCTTACAAAACCCTTGCATTGCATGAATTCCCTCTCACAAAAACTCTTCTTCTACGAGTTCGACAACGAGGGCATGGCAACCCAAGGTTCGCCATTTCAGATTGAACTTGTGGTAGACACGACCATGACAACCTCAAACGTTTGTAGCCACAGCGACAGTTTCAGCAATCACCAACATTCAACCTCTTTCTCAAAGCTCCTAATGTCTGTTCTAACCAGATTCCATGCAGGCTACTTCAGAATAAGCCTTTCCCTCGGAAGCCAAGCATTACTGTGGAAGACGGTAATGACATCGGCACAAGACAAAACCACTCTACCGCACGTGCTTTCCACGCTTCCTTCAGTGGCTGTCTATGCACTCTGGTCTTTCTCCCTTTTCACTCTAGTGTTACTCTCCCTCCTCTACCTCCTAAGATGCTTTTTTTTCTTTAAGATGGTGAAGGCCGAGTTCTTGCACCCTGTGGGGGTTAACTACTTCTTCGCCCCCTGGATTTCGTGGCTTCTCTTGCTTGAATCAGCGGCGTTCGTGGCGCCCAAAACCACCTTGTACATGGTTCTGTGGTGGGTGTTTGCGGTGCCGGTGGTGGTGCTTGACGTGAAGATCTACGGACAGTGGTTGACGAAGGGGAAGAGGGTTTTATCCTCTGCGGCGGGGAATCCGACGAGCCAGGTGTCAGTGATAGGGAACTTGGTTGGAGCACAGGCTGCTGCGCACATGGGATGGAAAGAGTGTGCGTTGTGGTTGTTTTCGGTGGGGATAGTGCATTACGTGGTGCTGTTTGTTACGCTTTATCAGCGATTATCGGGTAGAGATGGGGTTCCAGTATTGTTAAGGCCAGTTTTGTTCTTGTTCATTGCAGCGCCTAGCGTAGCAAGCTTGGCTTGGGAATCCATTGTTGGAACCTTTGACACTGCTTCCAAGATGCTCTTCTTTCTATCCATTTTCCTATTCCTCTCACTGGTAAGATTAGTTCCTCTACGTGTGCTGTTCAAAAATTATTCTCCAAAGGACTTTGATAACTGACATTTTAATACACATTTCTTGGAAGACATTTACAATATGGTGTTTATATTATCGACAGATTAAAATATATTTTATCTTCTTTTGCAACCGTTGTTAGCATAAAAGTTAACATCCCATTCCATAATGATTGGATGAGTGTATAAATTTTATACTATATTTTATTTTATTTTATTTAACTTCTATCTTTGATTTTATTTGTAATTTTTGTGTCCTGGTATGTATAATTATATACTACTTTTGTTAAATTGTTTAAAATAAATATAAAAATAAAATAAATCTGTCTTTTTTTGTCTCTTTTCTTTGCTAGTTTACGAACTGTTTATAAGCTCGATAAAATGATAAAAAAAATCCAAAACTGTGAATTATTTAATAAATATCTCGAATATCTCAGTTTCCCCCACTTTTTAATAGCAGTAGATTATAATGGATGATGGTATTTTTACATGAAAGAAGTTTTTACTCTCTTTTAATATTATCTTTCATTCATTTTTTTCCTTTTTTTTAAATATTAAAAAAATATTTTTATTAAAATAATAATAATATCACTTTTGTGATGGATTATCAAATGATAATAGTATGTCCAGTAACTTTTTTCCATTATAAAATTACAAAGGCTGGAAATTTATTTCCTAGTACATCATCACGATGGTAAATTTCTTAGACTGTGTGTTTGATTTCAGTTTTATCTGTAAATTTTTTTGGTGGAAAACGGGAAAGGTGGTTGAACAGAGGAGAAGAAAGACACCCTGTATTTAACTCTAGTTATTACTTTCATCCATGCAATTAATAATGGTCTCTTTCCCAT